GGAATGGTTTCTGAGTAACAAAATGCTGACTGGGAGTTTTTGTTGGTGTGTCTCTGGTCCTCCGGAATATAGGTGCGTTCCTGTGGGGACATCCCAAATACACTCTTTTGATCCCCTTGTGACTCCTTTTACTCACTCTAAACCGATAGAGAAGACACCAATGCTTAAAAATGTCTTTGTTCCTAGGAACTTATAGAGGCTCTGGGTTGACACAGCCCCGGCACAGTCCCCAAACCACTGACAAAATGAAGAGTCGATGCCTCGATACCGCAACACTTACAAACTCTTTGTATGTCTCGGCAGCCAGGAGGTGAAGGTGCTGAGCCCTCAGCACGGCGTTGGCAAACAGGTTGGAAAGGGGCATGGCCGGGAAGGTTGCAGCTTCCTTTGGCCACTGCAATCCCAGTGTGATCACAGCGATGAAGAGAGGAGAAAACCATGACCCTACAGCAAAGAGAAGGAGAGAGGGGTTAGTAGTTCCTTAGTGACTGTGCAGAGGAGTGCGTGGCACCTGTGAATTTCTACTCGCCCTCTTCTGTCCTTGCTACCTGAGGGCTCACCTTGATGGACACCTTGGCTCCATAAGTAGACTTAGATCCGTAGCTCCCCTAAGACAAGTGAAAATCCCTCCTTTCTCTCTTGACATGCCCTCAAATCTCATTCTACTCCCAGTTACAAGGGCTATTTTCCTGGCTGAAGTCATCATTGTTCCTTGAAAACTAGAGCGTATTCCTGCTGTTTTTTGCTAACATGATCATCATGAATCCCAGGGAGGTGAGCGTTTGGAAATAACTCACTTTACCCTTGTTTTACTTCACCTGCTGCCTGCTTCCACTGGGACAAGAGCTATTTCCTTGCCCAGGCTGGCACTAAAGTACTTTTGTTCTCTGATGGACACGCCTGTCAGACTTGGTGGTCTTGGTCAAGCCTAAAGGTTTTAAGCCATGCAAGTGTCCATCTATGCTTACTGAGACCACAAAGATAAGCTCAGCCAAATACTTTTGGGTGGAGGAATACCCTGGAGCATGTAGGACGTCTGCATTAGACATCATCCTGACCCCTGGCTTAAGCCTTGAATGTGAGTTCTAATATCACTGCCAGAATTTTTGTTAGTAATAACTACCATAACATCAGCTCCCCTTGTTCTTCATCTTCACAAGCCTTTCTTGAGCCTCAATGAGTTTTGGCTAATGATTATCTACATCAATTCATTAAAGTCACACTGTAGGGAATTATATTCCATTTCATTGATTTATAAGTTACACATTTTGATTTAGGGCTCTCACTGAATGTATATGGCCCACCACACCACCACCTCGTGTGTACGATATCTCCCACCACCCCAGGCATGCAGGAACTCCTTTAAAATTGAAATAAAGAAAAATACCTGGAGCCATTTCTGACTGGTGAGTTGCTCAGGTGTTACTTGAAAATCAATGTTTCTTCCTGGCATCTAGGTCTGGTAACTGTTGAGCCACCCCTTATATAGTAGGGGTTCTGTTTAAAATGTATATTATGTGTCCATGATCACAACAACCTCTCTATATCTTCCCCATGCATAAATGTACATGTGTTCACAATGGTGCTACCTAATTGTAGTCATTTATACACAGATGTAAAGGTTGGGGAGGATGTTTGCCTAGGGATAAAATTAGTGCTGAATGATTTCTCCATATTCTGCTGTTTATTGCAAATAAAGGTCTTATCATCATTGGAAGACCCAACCCAAAACAGATCTGCTCTTTTACGCAATGGAATTTCCCACATTGGATAGAAAACCCACCTGGTTTCCTGCCTGCTCCAGGTAGGCTCTGATCCACAATTAACATGACAAATTGGTCAATTTGGAAAACCTCTGACAGAAAGCAAGTGGGATTTTTTTCCCATTATATTGTAGAGCTGTATGGATTCTGCAAGGTGAATTATTTGTCTACCATGTAGCTTCTTTCATGCTACCATAACTTCACAAAATTAGCAAATAGTTTTGGTGGAAGAAGGAAATTTTGATTTTTTTTTTTAAAAAAAACTCCAAGACATCTATTGTCCTTTGAGGTAATGGTTTGATTCACAGCTTCAGCCAATGTATTCGTTTATTTACATCTGGAATTAAAAACACAGGACAAATGTAATTTTCCTGATACAACTATTTAAGCACTGAACTGAAAAAGTCATTTGCAAAACTCTCTGTTGGGAGAATGTGAAATGTAAAACACAGAGGGGCTGTTTCCAAAGACGTACAGAATAAAATCACCCGAGGGAGCCGGTTCACCTAGCAGGGGCTTGATGAAGTGCGCTCCTACCCGTGTGCTTCTCTGGGTACCAACCGGCCCATTGCAAATGCAGATCCAAGAGCTCCAGGAGGTTCCTCACCTCTCCAGCTGGGCAGAGCTCTGACAAGGACCTTCTGTGAAGTACCTGCTGCTCTTTGTGCAAGATACAAACATGAGGAATCTGTACATTAAGTGAAGGGCTGGTGTGGAATTAAGACTGCAGAGGAGGTGGAGGAAGAGCAGAGATCGCAGCGTATTTGAACGGCATGAGGCAGGACCTGGGGTGGCCAACACCAGTGAAACCTGAAGAATTTAACTGCTTCCAAGGCACCAATTGTTCCAAACCACCCTGCTCTGGCCCTTATTGTCCATAGCTGTTCTTGGGGACAGTCCAGCTGTCCTGGGCAGCAAACTTGGTGCCCATGGCCCTGGGTTGGCCTGGAGTGGCTCCAGTTTCCATGAAGCAGCAGCATCTCCGGAGCGGCTGGAGCAGAGGGTGTGAGAGCTGGTTAATAAACATGCTGGGGAGAGCGCGGTCTGTTCCGAGAAGCCCCTGTTTGTTGCTGGAGCCCCGCTGGTGTCACAGCATAAATGTCAGTACCTAGAGAAGTGAGAACAGTGGGTCCTGCTGCTATCAGGTATCCAGTCACCCAATTGCAACATCTGGGGGTGTTTTTCTACTCCAGATCGTGTTTAAATATTATGTCAATACTGGTCAGAGATGAGCAGAGCACCCCAGCCCAGCATGGGCTCTGCTCCCTGGTTAGCAATGATGCTCCAGCACTGCAGCTAGATTCACACAGTGCCACGCAGCTAGTCCTTGCCCTGGTGTATCTCCAGCTCTGTTAGTAAATCATAGTGATAAACTAACACTTTTTATGTTGTAGCCAAGTGCAGAGATGCCAGGAGGTTCCAGAGTGTGTGGTGTCCCTGGACCTGGTTTATTGCCTGCTTACATTACCCTGGGCATTAAAAGAGGGAGAATTTCTGTGGAAAGGGTGATGCATGGCCAAATACATGCCACTAACAGAATTACAGTTGTATAAGTATCTCTCAGATATGGATATGGCCTTTTTCTAGCTTTCAAGTGCCCTCATTTGTGACCCAGAGTAGCATCTCATAAAACACCATTACATTCTGTCATTTCTAATTTCCTTTTCTCTTTTGAAAGATGAAAAATACCTGAATTCTTTTCAAGGTTGTCCCCCGTGCACCTACCTTACCTCAAGAATCCTCACAAGCATCCGAACGAGTGAGGCCGCCTTCCTTGCAGGCACGTACACGCACTGGGTCCTCCTCACCCAGCCTGGGGTGGGTGCATGGTGGGGAGGCACCTTATTTTTGCTGGCAGTGGTGGAAATTAGTAGCTGCTGTGTGAGCTGGAACTCCAGTGAATCTGAGCCAGGAGCCAGCTCAAAGGGCAGGCTGAGCAATTTGGTGGACAATGATATGGTTGATGCAGTTTGTAGGCAGATGCTGAGCATCTCTGCCAGCTCACCAACTCCCGAGACACATACTCTTTTTCAGGTTGAACTGGTGTTTTGATTTCAAAGCAGCCTCCTGGTTCCACCGAGAGGAAAGGGACCAGCTCCATCAAACACATTTGGAAATGGTAGATCCAGGACTGCACCCCAATGGGGCTTGAAAACAGCTGTCTGCCTGCTCATCATGCTGATAGCAGGGATACAAAGCAGCTCACAATGTAGAGTATGTACTGAAATGCATTTATTTACACTAAATGAAGTTTAAATACAAGCCTACATCAGTATAAAATTACAGCAGATCCGACTCTAGCCTCACAAGAAACTAATCTAAGAGTTTAAAATAAAACCCTATCAGTACAGAAACATTTATTTGGTTCTGGCATTTTCAAGGAGGCCAAGGCCCTGGGCTAAGTAGGTATCTGAGCGGCAGAGCAGAACTGGGGTCACTGAAACTGCTTTTGACATCAGTGGCTTCCTCTGCAGGTGCGGACAGAAAACTCTCCTTATTTCATCCTGTTCAGTTAAGTCAATCTGGTGGGTTGTTTATACAAAGCTGAGAAAGCAGTTGGGAATTGGAAAGGCCGGAAAAGCTGCCTTCCTCTTCCATTTCCTAAATGAAAACAAGGCACGGAGGGATGAGCTCTAAAATCTTGGCAAATGTGGGAACCAAGAGCCAGTTCACTTCTGCTGCTGTGAACATTTCTTTCTTTCATTAATCAGTTTTATAAGCAAAACATGTTTAAGCAATATTTATATACACATAGATGTAACTAATTTAGGATAGTTTAATTTTGCTAATAAAAAATGCCTTTAAAATGCTGGGTTTGCGCTATTTAGATTGAGCCCCCGTTTCCATGAAAGCGGCTACCAGTAAACAAGAACCACCCTGTTTTCTGCTGAAACACCCTGGTTCCTCCCACTTTCCCCTCACTTTTCAGAACTAAAACTACACATTCAAGCCAGGATCCTTCCCCTAACAAGGGACACGTGCATGCAGACCAGGCTGTTCACTCCCAGCTGCTTAATGTCATGGCTAATTTATCCCTGGAGGTGACTTTTTTTCTTCCCTAGCCAATGCTGCAAGGCAGCAGTGGTGAAATTCTTATAGCTGGTCTCTCATCCCCAGTTAGCCTTGGGACCCAGCAGCAGCTCCATGCCCACTAAACATGTCAGATTTTTGATTTTCTGTGTCCCCCAGGCAGGCTGGCAGCACCATGTCCCTGCTGAGGAGCAAAGCAGTCCTTTCCCAGTGGAAACACTTGTGGTTTCCCTTCCAGGGAGCAAATTGCTGTTATTGCTCCTGGTGCCGGGCCCAGGGCATCCCACTGACACTGGCACCAGGGTTACGGCGGTGCGCCAGGACTGGGCACAGCAGTATAGACCTAGGACACCTAGAGCAGGACAAAGTAGGACATGAATCTATTTGTTACCTTTATTAGGTCTTCAAAAAGCAGTTGGATGTTTGTGTCCCACAGTTTATATCCTACCCATGGGTTTTGAGGTCACACATAGCTCATGCCAAGGGTGAACTCCTTGTCAACGCTGGCCAGCTCTTGTCTGGAGAGGAGTAAGACCTCCACAAGGATCTCCAGCCCAAAGATGTCTCCCAGCCTTTCCTATCACTCTTGGATAGGAAAAGGGACTTCTGGGGCATCCTTCATCTAAGACAACCACCAGCTTGGCCGGCAGGACAGATCTGTAACTTGACAGCCAACTTGAACACTAAAGATGGTCCAAGGTTGTCTACTCATGACACCCACTGTGCCAAGCCATGGGGTGTTGCTCACCTTGTCTGCTCTGCCAGTGAAGCGGGGCTGCAGTGGGGTCTTACAGCTCAGGAGGGCCCATGCAATGCAAGGAGACATCATGCCTGGCCCTTCCATCTCCTCCTTGGGGACATGAGGGCTGGAAGAGACCCACTGCCCACACTGGTGCCTTTGTTGCCCTGAATACACTGGAGCTCAGTGTGTTGATGTGAGGCTGGCTGAGGTTTTGGGGCTGTTTGCTACTGGGCAGCCACAACTGGCTACTAATTTCTGCATATGCTTAGGGGATTAAGCAGTGGGGCAGTAAAAGCAACACCTGGGGCAGGACAGCCTTAGTAGGCACAATCCAGATGTGGCTGTGGATGAGGCAAAACAAACACCAAAGGGCAGCAGGGCTCAAGCTCTGTGCGAGGCTCCGGAGATGGCATGTTGAGTACTGATGACCAAGTCCATGACCCCAGCCTGGGGCTGAGGTGTCTGTGACCAACCAGGGTCCTGTCCCTTTGGGGACCAGCAGGTTGGTGGTGGGTGCAGTGTGGAGTGGTGCCATGGATGCCTGCATAGTGGTGGGTGCAGGGGCCCTCACTCCTCGCCTGGATGCTCTCCGACTGTCCATTTGGCCTTCACATCCCGGAAAGGAGTGATGTCCTCGTAGGTGGCCATCTGCTCCACTTCCAGGCCCTGTGGCAAGAGGAATGAGGTTGAGAAACATGGCGGGGAGTGTGGCACTGGCTGTGGCACATCCCCCCTTCAATACTCATGAGCAGGAACCTATCTCTGGATCATCTCCCTGGAGATCAGGGCAGTATCTGAAGGGGGAAATGGAGACAAGAGGCTGCAAGTGCTTAGAGCCTGGTTGTTTTTTAGGAGAAGTTCTTAAGGTTCATGCACAACAGGCACTTGGGAAGAAGGTGCCCTTGTAACCCATGCAAAGGCTTGTGGTACCTAGCAGACATCCCCAAGGACCCAGTAGGTTATTTCGAAGATCAAGGTGATATAGTAGAGGTATGTCTATAATTAATTCTGTATTACCTCGTAGGTGTGGTCCTCCTCAGGACTTTCCTTGCCTTCACCCTGCAGAGAGGAGAGTTACAGGCTGAGTTTCACCATCACCCACATAACCGCTGGTGCATGTTATGTCACGAGGCACATAGGACCCCATGCAATGTCCCCCCAAACAATCCCTTCCCATTCCTAGTGATGTCCTCGCTGTCAGGTACCAGCCCTGTGGGTGACACTGCTATGAAGGAGGCAGTGGCAAAGCCAGGGACATCCCCAGTGCTAGAAATACTGTCACTCACTTTATCTAGGAAGAAGAGCAAGGGGACGCTGATGAAGACTACCAGCAGGATGGTCTGAATGATGATGATAGCATCTTTCAGGGTGTTCCTGTTCTGGATCTGCTGGATGTTGCTGTGACCTAGGAGCACAGGGAGAAGCCCCAAGTCCCACCTCGTGCCAGGCTCCCGTGGAAAAGGGACATGCTCGTCATGGCTGTGGGTTTAGGCCAGGGCAGAGGTATTGGCAGAGCTGGGGGGATCTTGGCACATCCTCACCCTCAGGAGAGACCTGAACACTGCATAAATCTGCTGGGACCGGCATCAGGGACTAGCCGCGGGATGAGATGTCCTGGACAGGACCCATCATTGCCCAGGACGAGAAGAATGTCACTGATCAGGGAAATGCAGTCACTGGGATATGTTTATGGGGCATGCATGGGCCATGACAAATCAGGGGGTTATTCAGCTGCTTGCTTGGCTGGCAGGGTGTGAAGAAGCAACTGCAGTGCCAAATTTGTTTCCAAAGCAATCTCACAGGCATCGGGGACACAAGGACATGATATGAGTGGGACTCATTTGGAGGGGCAAAAGTGAAAGTTGCATATGGAGAAAGGAGTGCTGGGTCATGGGGGCTGAACGATGTGCGGAGGCGAGCAGGGCATATGGGGCTCTCACTCACTCATGACTCGGAGCTCGGTCCCACATGCGTGCGCCTGCTTTGCCTTTGTGAGGTTTTTCCTGTCACACACGTAGATGCCGTTGTCCTTGTAGGCGATCCTGAAGATGGTAAAGTTGATGTAGTGGTCCTTCCGCTCTATGCTGTAGCGGGAGGTGTTGCTGTCCAGGCCATAGAGCTGCTCATTATCCTCCTGCATTTTGTACCACTGTGTGTGCTGAGGCTCACTGCAGTAGCAGATGAAGTGGACGGGCATGTTCCTCTTGGCCGCCACGTAGCGCGGGTGCTGGTGGACCCAGGGGCACGTCACCGCTGCTGGGAGAGAAGGGTGCTCGCAGCCCGCTCCCCACCCCAGCCCTCAACCAACTCAACCTTGGAAGAGAAGAAATTGCTCTTTGCTTGCAAATAATACTAGTGAACACTGACCTGGGCACTGTGTGGGGTCCCAGGCCATAAAATTTGCTATTTACTCAGGACTGTTCACAGGTCATGCCTTGGTTTCCAGACACAGTTCCCCGGCCTTTAAAACTCACTTAAACATACTCAAAAATGCCAGTGGTCTTTATAATAATCATAATCATAATCAGTGCTTTTCTGTAAAACACAACTGAATTCCAGTTGCTAATTTAGCTTCTAGTCTTGGTTTTCTTGCATTATTCTTGGTTTCTATAATTAAAACATGCAAGATAAAATCAATCTGTTCTATATGGTTAAAATCAGCTCTCTAAATCAGCAGTCGTAAGCAGATTACTCTTTCATTCAAAAGCCTCTGCTAATGCTCCCCTGCCACCTAGTAGGGCACAAACGAGAGCCCAAAGCCTGAGCACTTAAAAACATTAGAGGCAAAGCCCCATGGAGTTCAATTTATCTTGTTAGCCCCAGCTTCGGTTCAAAAGCGCCGCCTGTCATGGAGTTACTGGGAATGACGTGCACTGCGAAACCTTTGCAAGACCTGTGTCTTCTCCCCATTGCTTGCACATTTTTTGTTATTGGGTCTTATTTGGTATTTCTGCTGTATTTTGTGCTTTTGCCTGTGTTTTGCTCCCAGAACTGAATGTGAGTTGCAGGATTCATGATGAGTGCCCTGAAGAGGGGAATGGCATGAACAGTGTGTGCAGAATTAAATTGCCCAGTCCTGATCTGTGCTACGTGCTCTAACATGTCTGAGAGGAGGTGGGATTTGAGGCCCTGCTGGTCTCACGCTCAGCATCCAAGCTCTGTGAGATGCTGGGCAAGGACTGTGAAGATGAGGATGGCTCTATCTTTGCAGGAGACAATGGGTACGGGACCCTGGGGACATGCATAGGGAAGATCCTGAGGGGCCCGAGATGTTACTCACTTGTATTGCATCCAGTGCTGTTCCCGGTGCCATTCCCAGCTACTGAGATCCCCCCTACAAGAGAAATAGAGGGTCCTGGAATAGCAGCCACCTGCTCATGTAGGACAAGCTTGTGCAGGATGTCCTATGTGGACGGCGGGCAACATGGCCAGTTTTCACCAACGCTGGCTCCAAACACAGGCTGCTCTTCCCCATCAAACCCTTCATAACTCAGGGGCAGCTTCAAAACCCACAGCCAAGCCCTCAGTACTGTCAGGATTTAGCCTCAAAGCCCTTCCATCCTTCTTCATCCTCCATGCATTTAGGGCGCTGGGGCCTCCGTCCTGTGTTCCCCAAAGCCCAGGAGGCTACGGCTCAAAAACTTGGCTGCCTCCTGTTAGGACAAATCCAACCCTGTCTCTGAGGTACCATGCTGGGTACTGACCCAGGAGAAGCAAGTTTCTGAGTCTCTGAGGGCGATGGACAGAACCAAGGCCACACAGCACGGGGTTGACTGCTTGCTGTGTTGAACCTTCCTGGGGAGCATCCCAACAACAGCCACTACTCCAAGGAGAGGACCTACCAGCAAGGACACAGCACAATGCAGTTTGAGCACCAACCCTTCCATTCCCAGCCTGTGTTCTGATTTTTTTTTTCTAAAGAAGGCCGCTTTCTGGTTGATGTTTCAATGAAAATATCTAGTAGACTCTGAAGCTCCATCATATCAACACCAAATATTTCCTGACTCGGAGAGGAGGCTGAGGCATGAAACCCTCTGTAGTTTGGTAACTTGGACATTTCCCCCTCTGAGTGAGGACAGGGAAGGCTAGTTCCTGCACCCTTTGCCATTGCATGAAAAGAAAAAAGACTTCAGCATCCCCTGGCGCAGAAGCCCTCGTCCTCCATTGCAAGGGCATGCTCCAAGCGTTCAACTGGAGAGCCAACCACATGCTCTCCATGCAAATATTTGATTTCTTTGCAATGGGATTGATATAAAACTGGAATGATGTGGGTGGCAGTTGTACCCCCTCGGGACGAGGCGGTACCTTAATGGTAATTTCCCACAGGGAAAGGGTGCAGGATCTCAGCCCATCTGCGCCCACTTGGATGTCACCGGCCTCTTCAGGCCTCTGTATTTACACTCTCCCTTTCGTAATCTGAATCACGCAGAAACACTTTCCCTGCTGGGGCTCCCCCGAGATTTGGGCTGCTGGATGGCCAGGAAGGCTCTGAGCCTGGGGGCCACGAGGCACCGCGGGGCTTGGCGCTGCGGCGCAGGAGCCAGGTGAGCGTGGGGGCCCGTTGCAGTGCCCGTGGTTTGGGCTTCCTCCCACTGCAGCTGGGCCGGAAGCACCGGCTCTGTTTATGGCATCGCTTCGGTGCGTGGCTCCGGCCGCTTAGCGAGCAGCCAGTTCAGCTCATCCGCGTGAATGCCCAGGAGAAGCTCCTGCTCCGTGGCCAGCCAAAGCCCCAGAGCCCGGTGCAGATCTCCCTACACAAAGAGCAACCCGCAGGGATGGCCTCGCCCAGCCACATGGCCCCTTGATGCCCTGGGGTCATGCCCAAGACTGGGTTCCCCAGATGCCCTGGGCTGCTCTCCCAATCCATCTCCAGCATCTGCCTCTCTGCAGACAAGTTCTGCCCTTCTTACACATCTCTCCAGCCTAGTTTCATCTCTTTCTGAGATGGAGAGATGCCCTTCATCCTGGCACAGGGCTAGCGGGATGGCAGCATGGCAGGATTTGTGTTTTGCTGTGTTTCTAAGTGAACGAGGTTGATTTCTCACCTTGGGGCCCTCCAAAGCCAAACTCTCCACTACAACCACCAAAACCAGACATTAACATCAGATGGATGGAGCTTTCCTGGGCCTCCCCCAAAGCCTCCAGCAAGGCTGAAGTTGGGCACCACCAAAGCCCCGAGCAAGCGAGTCCAGAGACCAGGACCTCAGATCCCCCTGGGCTCAACCCTGATGAGCAAAGGGAGGTGGTTCAGCCATGACCTCAGTGATCTACTGGCCTCCACAAGCAAAAAATGAGACTTTTCACCTCCCAGCCCATGTGTGTTCTGCTGAGCCCAGCCCTTATTTTGTGCAAGAAGCCGGGGTTTGCAAAGCTTGAAAATACCTCCTTTAAAGCCAGGCCCGAGTGAAGTCTCCCGTTGCACTAAAGCAAACTCAGATCCACATGGCCGGTCCCCTCGGTGCATGTTTCCTTGCTTTTACAGCTCTTAGACCCTCTCCCAGTGCAAAGCCAAGGTCTGATACCTACCTGTGACCAGGGCTATGACCCAGAGTTTTGCCTGCAGCACCCACAGCCTCTTGGACGCAGCAGCCATATCTCAGTGCCTGCAGCCGGGCTCCCTTTCTGCGAAATGCAGCAGCTGCCTGGACACCAGGCTGGCCTAAAAATGGCACAGCTGCTGCTCTGCAAGACGGCCCCTTTCCTGCTCATGTAAATTGGGCTCAGTGGGGACTTTCCCAGGGCCCCGGGTTTTGAATGCAGCGCAGACGCTGGTGGGGCTGAGCTAATGCCTGCCGCTGCTCTGGTGCTCAAAGCGCGAAAATGCTCAACCTTGACGCTCTGCTCCTCCTGGCCGTGCTGGCCGACAGAGCTTGCTGCAGGTGACCACAGCTTATACCTTCTCATGTCCCACGCTTCAACTTACCATGGCCTGGTGCCTGCCAGGGCAGGGAAAGATCTTGCTGAGTGAAAACCAGGCAAAATGCGAGATGGTTAGAGTTCAAGTCTTACCTCCCTGCACGCCAGCCGTGTCTGGTCCCTCTGCACAGGTCATTTTGCTGTCACAGAGACCTTCCTCCTGGAGTCCTTCAGAGGCAACCGCCGCCTGTGGAGGTACCAAGTGGCACCCAGAGCATCATCTGGTGCCCGCTGCCACTCCAACAGAAAAATATGGTTTCTTCTCATGCCATGCCACAGTCTGCCTCCCCCTGCACTCCACTGCTGGTGAGCACTGAGCTGTATCGCCATGTGAGAAAACACCTTTTGCCAGCCACGATGGTCCCCAGAGCCCAGCTTTCTTTGCTGGGGGCCTCCCCAAACCTTCAGCCTTCTGTAGATTTTCTTTGCAGGCTCTGAGCACCCAGCCAAGCACCAAACTTGAACCAGCTGTGGTGCAAATTTCAGCTTGTCTGAAAGGCAATGTGAAGCAGGAAGGGCCCAAAATCAAGGTTCCTGGAGCAAAAGTGAGCTCATGGAAAAAGAGCAGAGATGGGAGAGGTGGTGCTTCCCAATGGAGCAGATGCCTGGATTTATGTGCAGCCATCTTGGGTCCCTGGGAAGCCTTGTGGGGTAAAACCAGGAGTGTGGCACATGCTAGAGATGGTTTGCAGGGACAGAGGACAAATTCTGCTCTGCTCGCTGGCTCCTTAGCACCTGCTAATGAGCTCAGTGTGTCCTGTTTTCCCCTTCCTATGCAAGCCCAGTTCTTCCCCAGCAGCATGAAGCAGTTGGGAGACACATCAGAAGGTGTTTCCCCACATCCTCACATCTTTTTCCTTACTTAGGGCTATTGCTGGGGCCACGTTGGTGCCCAACTCCGACTCACAGCTCCCGATCACTCACTGCTCGCAGGGCCCAGAGGCCCTGCTGCATGCGGGGATGGGGATGGAGCCAGGCAGCTGTGTCCCTTGCCAGCCCATCCTTATGCATCACGGCTTGAATTTCAGCGCTGTCCTTTCCGTAGCTGCAGGACGTTATGCCACCCCCTGGCCCCAGCCCACGGCTGCTCCAGAGCTGTGATACTTTCACCTTGAATTGCATGAAGCCCCAGGACATGCTGTTCCAGGGAGAGGGAAGGCACAGCAGTGAGGCCCTACTGGGGTACCCAGGGATGAAGGGGAGTGCTGGAGGTGGATCTGGCCTCCCTTGGATATGGAAACATCCTTCATTCACTTCCTCCTTCCAGCACTGATGGCCTCCTGAGAGGCTCGTGGGACCCAGTCCTGTTCTCCTTGGCTGAACCCACCCCAGCATCTCCTTCAGCCTGTGGGTAGACTGGGGATCCTTGCTGCAGACCCCAGAGAGCCCGCAGGCCCCATAAGGGTCATATGGGCCTGGTTCAGTTGGAGATGCTGCAGGGAGGCTTCAGCCCAGGGGTATCTCCTGCACGATGGGCCCTGATGGACCCCCAGCCTTTGAAGATCTGCTGTGGGTCCTGCTGAGGATGAAAGATTTCCAGGCAGGGGCTCCCCTGCTCTGGCCAAGAACAAAGAGAAGAGGCCTTTAACAGGGGGCAGGTATCCTCTCTGGGGCAGAGAAAAATGTTTCTTCCTCTAACACACACCTACACATTTTGTAATGTAATAATAGATCATTTTCAGTCATTTATTTTAAGAAATGTACAAAGAAAAAATGGCTTTAGCTCAAATGAATTCTGCTCTTTGGCTTTTTTTTTTTTTCATCACTAACAACACATTATGTACAAGTAGCATTGATGATTAACAACAGTCCATGCTGGAAACTGCTGTGCCATGGATGCTTCCCATGTAAACACAGTTTAAAGCATCATGTCACATACTAACTAGCTTGGGCTCCTATTCCAGGGAGCGTCACCCTACACACATCGAAATGAAAGCATGACACAGCGTTACATGATGAACAGAATGACCCGGTTGCCTGGCCAGGAGCATCCAGATGTTAGCAAGCCCAGCACTGCTTCTGGCCAGCATGGACATGGGACATTCATAGCAGCTCCGAAGCAAAATCTGCCCAACAACCACAACAGCAACAACAACAACAACAAAAAGACAGACCCTCTGGCTTCAAGAAGTAGCCCTTGTTTTAATGGGGAAAAATAAAAGGTTCTTTGGTTCATATTTGTTTTTTGATCTGAAGTGTTTTTCCCTTTTTAAGAAAGTTTATGGTCCAGAAAAGACGTTTTTGTCTGAGCTCTGGGCCATCTCCCTGTCTTCCTGATTTGCTTTCCTTTGGCCACCCATATAATGGTGACTAAAACTCTTCCCCGGACACTCTCTTTTCTGTCTAGGCATTTCCCGTCTAGCAGCGTTGGCCATGGCCCCATCTCTGTGGACATGCCGGCAGCTGCCACCAAGCAGAGCCACATCCCCAGAGGCCCCTTGCCACTGCTGCACTCACATGTGTGCATGCATGCCAAAAACCCAAAGTCATAGAATTAGAGAATCATAGAATCATTATGGTTGGAAAAGGTCTTAAAGATCATGAAGTCCAACTGTAAACCTATCACCACCTACACTGCAACGTGCCCTTGGACAACATCTGGAGCAAGACAACACCAGAAGCAAGATGCACAGCTCAGTACAACTGCCCTCTTTGGGAGCCTTCACACTCTGGACAAGAATCCTCACCCTTGGCAGCAGGTGGGATGCAAAGGTACCCGTTGAAGGAGCTCTCTACAAAATGCTATTGAAAGACCTGCTCCAACCCTGGGGATGCATCTCATTAGCTAATGGTAACTGAGTGCTTTGGTGGGAGATTTTTGCTACAAGAAAATATCAGAAGATGTTCTCCAAACGCTGTTTTTGTCCATTGCTTTCCTGCCATATAATCTAGATAATATGGGAAAACAGAAAAGATGAATATAAAAAAAACCTGTAGCTTACATTTGTACTGTAGAGACCTGAATGGTTTATGATTTCAATGCATATTCAGAGACCTTTAAAAGCTGATATTCAACCCTGAGAACATATCCGCAGATGTTTTGTTTTGGCTGTGCAAAGAAATCTTTAAGACATAATTGCATTTTCTTTGTATATAACAAAAATCCATAAAGCTTATTCAAATATTCAAAAGAAAAGTGCTACTTTAAGACATTAGAGATTTTTGTTCACAAAACCTTGTCATTTCTGTAATTATTCTTAATATTATCTCATTTGGCTCATCTTTCATTGGCTACCTGGATACACTCTGGAAGAATAGTATGCAAAAAAATTTCCTAATCATGAAATAATAGTAATAAATAATTACTTTAAATAGAAGGACAGTCTTTCATTAATTTCTGAAAATATAGATACCATGACTAGATCTTTTCAAAACTAAAATATTTCTCTTTCACCAGCAATAGAGAGATTTCACATTTAAATCTCATAACAAAAATATTAAATTCTTTGCAGTAAACTATAAAAGACATGATCATTAAGAGATCTTGCTTCAAAAATTATGGTGTATACTTGAAATATCTAAAATCAGCTCAATATCTAAGATCTATTGATCTGGATATGGAAGAGCCCTTGAAGGAGAGATACAAACGGAATCTGTTCAGGCATCGTGATGCCGAGAGATGGAAATCGCTCTGTTATACCAATGACTCTTTCACAACACGTTTCTCCTCCCATTTTTTTGCTTCACCAGAAGCATGTTGAGTCTCTGAGCTCAGGATGGGTGCGAGACTAAAGACTGCGGCTGTCTCTGCATCCGTCTCGCTGTTCCCATAGATCTCATTCATTTTGGACGCAATTAGGCCTTCTTTCTCAGGTGCTTCCTCTCTCAGGGCATCCTCATCCTTACTGTGCCGGTACATGTAGGAAGCCTGCTTCATTGAGCGTCGCAGGAGGTACCTCCGGAAGGCTCTTTGGATTTTTGTGGCACACACTTCCTCGTGTTTCCTTTTCAGAGTGGTAGTGATGGGCTCATAGGAAACCTTTGAAGGGTTTGCAGCCATAAACTTCTCCTCCATGGTGTCCTTCAAGGCATCCATCTCTCCTGAGTCCCCCAGCACTTCCTTTGTTAGGGCAAAGAGGATATCCAGACAGTGGATTTTATCACCTGCAACCATTGGCAGATCCATGGTGATTAATTTGATCTTGTTTGGCTTGGGAATTTTGAGTGGCTCCTGTAAGGTGTCTACAAAGTCAGACAAGGTGCTGTATGCAATGAACTGGGTGGCATCAGGGTCAAACTTCTCCCAAATTTCATAGAACATTTCAAAATCGTCTTCACAGAGGGGCTCGCTGCTTTCCTCCGTGGCCACGTTGAAGTTCTCCAGGATGATGGCAATATACATGTTCACGACAATTAAAAAGGAAATGATGATGTAGCTGCAGAAAAAGAAGATGCCAATGGAGGGGTTGCCACAGTTCCCTTTTATCGGACTGCCAGGGTTTTCCAGGTCTGGATCACAGTCAGGGGGACCACTGTTCAGAATTGGGCTAAGGAGACCATCCCATCCAGCTGATGTGGTGATCTGGAACAGGCAGATGATGCTGTTCCCAAAAGTTTCAAAGTTGAAAATGTCATCAATCCCTGCCTCCTTCTTTACATAGGCAAAGTTGGACATTCCAAAGATGGAGTAGATGAACATCACAAGGAAAAGCAAGAGGCCAATATTGAACAGGGCAG